ATCCGATGAACAAGCCTCTGCAGTAGGGACAAGGTGTGTTACAGGATGTAAATCATTAAACTTGCAAATACAGCAAAAAATGTAGTTGGAAACATCAAAGCAGGGTGTTAGGAAGAATGAGTGATCAATATCAAAATATCTCTTTGAGTGTTCAGCTTACACGAGATTGATATAGAAGTTCAAGTCTTACTCGGCTAATACATTGACGTGTTGGTCTTCCTTCGAGCTGAAGATCCAAGTCGATGTCCACAGCCGTTCGACTTGTGGATATGGTGTTAAATTAGGAAATCCTATCCCGCAGCGCTCTTTTATACATGACGACTGTTAATGAAATGACTATCAGTTGATGTTATATGATAACATAAACAACAGCAATATCAACGGGTGTTGATAAGATTATCCGCTTATGATATCATGTGAATAAGAGTTGTCTTGTAGAAAAAGACGCTACCGGGTGAGGCTGACTTATTTGAACATCTGTTCATTCCAGCAGAAATTGTGAACTTTCCAATCAATTCTAAGAAGAAAAAAGCGTTGAGCGTTATCTATCCCCTAGTATTGCATCATGCATTCTACTCCATTAAACAATATTTATGCTTCCAATTTAGTGGTAGAAATTTGCTACTATAAAGAAATAGCTGACACTCAGTATAACTATTGAGCAGAAGTTCTCTACAGAGTCGCGAAAAAATCGTTATTAACTTATAAATAACAGTATTTCCAATGAGATGTGGCAAACGGAACCGTTGGATCGATTTTAATTTTTATCACTTGCCAGTGCAATTAAATTAAATTTAATGAGTCTTGAATTTTGAGCTAACTTCTAAACAAGCATGAGGATATAGCATGAGAAGGAATTACAGCTGCTACAATTGCTAACGAAAATGGCAGTGATTTTTTTCAAACCAAAAGCCAGCTACCATATGTAACTCTCTATTATATAAAAACAGAAACTTATCTAGACGATAAGCTCTACCTGCTCACATACGTTTCCCGACCTTCAATATCACTGTGAGGTAGTTAACTGTACAGGAACAATGGTCAATGGTTGAGAATTTTCTGCTTAATACAGTGCCCGTTGGGTGCTATAAGACCGTTTAATAATAATCTTAAAAATGTCACAACAAAGCTCTCGAATTAAAAGCAGAATGAAAACGAAATGGGAAAAACATTTATCTCTGTGCTCTGAAAGGCGACGGAACCTAGAGCATGTGAAATGTTGATGGACGCCTCACTTGAAATGGAAAAGACAAACATCATTCAGACATATGTATGCGAAAAAAGGAAACCATTGCTAGCTCCAATACATACACACCAGAAATAGTTGAACAAAGGCTAACTATAACGATATACAGCACATAGAAACGTATGGAAGGATAAAGCTCTCGGCTTCCAGAGGGATGCGCCATAAATTCGACTTCATTAAGCATCGTTTGGAGGTGATTGAATGCATACCTGGCCTTTCCAGTGACTTGCGGTGGCTAGCGATCTGTCGAGCCAGTGCTGCTTGCTATCCTCCCAGGCATGTCTGGTACCAATCTTCCGACCCAGGAGGGATGGAGGGTTTGCTGGGCCAGGGGAGCTGGGATCGATTCAACGCGTGTGTTGCAGGGCGCCTCTGACCACTGCGCCACACGTGCCCTATAGAAACGTATAACTAGAAACTTGAACAGTAGAACAGATGGTAAGGGCAACAATGAAATAGACAAACTGCACAGCATTCCCAATGCTTCTGTTTTTTCACCTAAGAATTATTCAGTATTCGGCTGGGACATCCAACCAACACGTTAGCTGGGCCACACGTTAAGTTAATCTGTGATCACAACAATTTTCAATTGATGAATAAATAAAGGTGCTTCGAACAGATTCAGAGTATTGCATAATTCCTTATTTTCCAGAAATCGACAGCAAATACTGCGTGGATCAAAGCAGTTCATGTACACGGTTCAATGCGTCAAACCAATCAACCATGAAGCCCTTAAGATTTCGCGTGAGCATTTGTTTTCTGCTTGCTTCGGTTGCCACCAATGGTAGATCAGAATTGAGAACAACAGTTTGCAATCAGGGCAGATAATTCAGAATACTATGAAAAGAAGCAGCATGTTCCACGCCGCAGAGAACACTTTTTACGTCTTCTATAACGGTGCTTTTCCAGATGAGACGAACTTCTTTTATAGATGAATTAAAGCAAGAGAAAGTGAAATCTTTTAACGTTTTTGTTTTCTGCCTTCTATAATTTTCATGGCAGGTTACTAAGCGAAATACAACCACAGCGTTGCTGAGATATTTGCAACGCTTATTATATTAACATTGTGATTTCAACTACAGCCATAGCTTAACTGGGTTCTATGCCGATTTGCGCTCCCTAGATCAACCCCGCTGACGGGTGATTGCTGTGGCAAAAAGATCGATAGAAATAGCTGAGAGACGTGCGAAACAAAGGACCCGCATGGTGTGGTGGTGAACGCGTTACTCCCCGGAAAGGATAATAGCGCGTTCGTTCCCCACCATAGACACCTGCGGTCCAGAGTTTTGCAAATATCTCAGCAACGTTGTGGTTGAAATCTTTTACTCATGATCGAGCTTCGCTGTCGTGTGGGTGTGCTTTGTCTCAACGAGAATGTTTTTTGTTTCTCTTTCCTGCATAGCATTTTAAGCTCTGTGGTTCTTATCAAGCAACCACATCTGGATGGTGAGGCCAGCTACGACCGGGTAGATTGGAGATTCTTGTTCGCTATAAAGTAAGGTAAACATTCTGATAAAATATTTAATTACCTTTTTTTCACTGATGAAAATGACTTCAGTAGTGTGTCACCTATATCATCCACCGTCCTACTGTTCGCACGACTCGAGCGAGCGCCAGTAAAGATTCCATTTCTGCCTGCGGCGTGCAATAGCAGCTCAGTGTGTTCTATTCGCTATAGGGACTAGCTCAGCATCATATTCTTCTTCTAGGATTTTTTCATGAAAAATTCTGACCATTAAGTTGTTGGTGTTCTTGTAGTGTGTTTAAAATTCCGTGGAAACCAGTCGCTAACGGAACTTGTCCACTGGTTGTCGTTCAGGTGCATTACATGTCAAGCCCACTTTATCTTCGACAATTTGGTGTGTAAGATGGCATCATTGACATTTGACGTAGGTCGGAGGTTTGGACTCCTCTTTCACTTCCGTGAAGCAGGGCACTCCTAGCATCGCTCTTTTCCACTGCGCGTTCAATAATTCTTAGTGATCTTTCATTCCGCTTACGCAACAACCAGGTTTCTGACGCATGCGTTAAGGCAGGACGTACCATTGAGTCGAAAATGTGTTCAACAAGCCATCGTTCTTTATTCTCCTCACCACATCTTCGACGCTTTTGAAAGCTTCCCAATCCACCTGCTTTCTTCTGCTTAATTCTGAAGCTAAGTCTGACATCATGTTAACTTTCCATCCTAGATAGACGTAAATGGAGCAATCGGAGATAGTCATTACGTTGAGCGTGAATGGTGCATACGTAAGCAACTCGTTACTCGCGAGCATCGTTTTTCCAAGATTTAGTCGGAGACCAATCTTTCCGCAGGCTTCGTCAAAGTCGGTAAGCATTCGTTCTACTTGGCCAACACCTGCTGTTATAAGAACGATATCACCAGCAAAGCGAACACTGTTCAATTATCCTCCATCGGCTTCCAATCCCATGTTGTTGCATTCCGGCGTTCGCACGAAGTCCTCGAGGGTGGCGGAAAATAGTTTTGGCGAAATGGTATCGCCTTGCCTAACCCATCTCTCGACGTCGAAGTTAGTATGGTTATAGAATGGTGCTATTTTGATCACGAGATTTTTGTATAGCTTACGAAGAATATTTGTACACTGAGTTCGGACGGCTCGATGAAAGCGAAACAAGACGATCCCTACTACTCTCGCGGTACCACGAGGAGTCTTGGTGTCGTTGATGAGATCCAGCGTATTAAATCCTTCACGAATTCCTGCTTATTCAAATGGATGTCCTTCGTCCGATGTTCTGTTAGTCCTGTTTAAGACAACTTTGGTGAGGAGTTTATAGACGATAGACAGCAGCGAGAGTGGATGACAGTTGCCGATATCGTATTGGTGACCATTCTTAGTCAATAACACAGTCTTGCTTATCTTCTATTGAAAACAAACCTTGCATTCTGACATGAAACGTGTGAAGAGCCGAGACAGTGCGTTGGTGAGGACCGTCAGCAGGTTCCTCAGATGTTCATGTCCTTTCCTATCGGAACCGAGTGATGTTTTATTTTTCACCGACGAAATAGCATATCGGATTCCGGAAAGTAGAGTGAGTGGAACTATACATCCTTCTTTCTTTATTTCGTATGAGGAAAGAAGGATGTGGTTATTGAATAGATCTGAGTGGAAATCGTGAATGATTTCCTCCATTGCCTTTTTGGAAGTTGCAACTGTTCCGTCTAAGCGTGAGAGTTGCTCTTCTCTCCTTAGGATCTTTTTTTTATTGAATGTCTGCATTGTTTTGCAAGTTCGGAGGCGAGTTTTCGGTTGCCGACAGCTCGTGCGTTCCATCTGGCGTATCAGCTGGAGTGTTTCGGTGTAGGGAGGTCTCTTGGTGACATGCAAACTCTCAGCTTTCATAGCGTTAATGTGATGATATTGTATGAGCGGATCGTATTCTTCGTCGGTGTTTTCAAGAACGGCATCTTCCCATGAGCCAAGTAGTGATCTGAAGAAACCCAGTTAATGGTGGCTAAAATACCTCATTTTTTTAACTTAGCTGCTTTCTCTTCTTTCTTCGATAAATGAAATCTTACATGAGAGAGGTGATGGTCTGATGACCCCCTTTCAGAATTTTGGAACAACAGCGACGTCGGCTAGACAAAACCTTCGACTTACTACGACATGGTCTATTTCGTTTTGGTATTCTCTATTGGAAGACTTCTACGTCCAGCTTTGCGAGAGGGCTTTTGGATCTCAAAGGTGTTCGTCGTGATAACAAGCTCGGACAGCCGCCCACACCACCCGGTCCATCCTTATCCGTGGGTGTCAATGTGACATTCTTCACACATTCTTCTGGACCGTCTTAGTCTTAAAAATGGCCCAATGATGGCCTCGAAGAATGTATGGTCTTCTCTATGGAACGTCTCCAAGTCCATATAAAACGCTTCGACTTCGTCTTCATCATAGACTGATGTCGGTGGGTAGACGACGAAGATTGTCGAAGCCGTTATTGATCCACATTGCTTCAATCGTAAACGTCCCATTCCGGTTGCTAGTTGTGTGAATGAATCGACGTTTCTGGGCAAGCATATGCTGACGAGAACGCTGATGCCGCCAACTCCTCTACCATGCCATGTTCCGGAGAACAGACCCTCTTCAGTGTCATAGTGGCGACTTTTCCTCACGGCCCGTCCGATTACCTTGTACTTCATCCTTCTTGCCCGCATAATCAAGTCATCTATCGAGAACTCAGATGCAAGTGAATGTGCAGTGTGATGGCAAAAATATGTTTCGATGGTTGTAGTTGTTGGATAGTTGTACGATGGCCACAACTGACCTAAACTAAGTTGTAGGCCAATGTTATAACCCCACGAGATTGCACGTAGACGTCATATTTGTTAAAATTTGTTTTGATAACTGGAACCCTTGAGGGATTGAGAGCTTCGTAGACATCTAGAAGTGACTTTGCTTTATTCATTTCGGAGCAAATACTTCTTCTCGAAGTGCTGTTTACGATTGAAAATTCCAGTTACTTGAGGAGCAAATTTAAATTTTCAAAATCCCTAATACAAGTCCGTTACTAGTAGCCACAAACACCGCATTCGGGGACATTGTGCTCGTCTTCGGCTGCACAAAATTCCGCTTGCTCAAGTGCTTTTGTCTTCGAAGAACGAACAGCGACGTGAAGGCGCGACAAGATTGCGATTTATGTGCAACACAAGGCTACAATTTTGTAGTAGTAGAGTAACAATGCTCGTATTCTAGTGAATGACCAGCAAATCCAAATGGTTTTCTTTACATTAACGAAGATCACTGTGAATGGAGATGTGTTGCATCAGAACTGAAAGCTACGGCTTTTTTTACCCGCGTGGAGTCGAAAAGGTGAGCCAAGGAGTCGTGTGTTCTTTGCTCTCTTCACCACATCCTCGATGCTTTTGAAAGCTCCCTAAACCGCTCGTTTTCTTCTGCTCAACTCCAGGGCTAAGTCGTCCATCATGTTGATCATTCGACCTAGATAGACACAACTGGAGCATTCGAAGATATTCATTCTGTTGAGCGTGTATGGGGCACACGAAACCAATCCGAATCCTTCGAAATTCTGGCGGGCATATGTTCAGCGGGTGAACTGTGGTTAAATGTAAGATATAGCAGCAATATCACACCCCTAGATGAGCAGACCAACCTCTCGGCTATATCTTTATGTTGCGAAACCCATAACCGAAAATGCATAACTTTTTCTCCTCTTGTCGAGAAAAGAAACCAGCCGTGTCGAGTTTGGACAGCGGACGAGTTGTATCGTTTTGCATCCGTCGCGGAATCAACAATGGTCCACGTTTGTGGTAGTGGCATGATCGCCTTCTTTTGCAACGGACCAATATGCGAGTGCGTTGTTTACCCTAATCGAACGTGATTATTCTTTCATAGAAGAACATTCCATATGGAAGCGGATTTGGCATTTGCGTTACTTAGATGAGAAATGTATGTGTGGTCAGTGCTTAATTTCCCGCAGGAAGTTATGTTGTCAAGTGACAAGTAACCTATGACAATCGTAGTATATTAATGTCTGATTATTCCGTCTAGAGTGGATGCCTACCACAAAATCCTGAGAAGTTCCAGACGTCAGCCACTTGCAAATATCTCTGGTCACTGTTGGGAGCGTCGCATCAGCTAGCACTAGCAGTTCGAAGTTTCAGGCCATTTACATTGCATCCTCCCCGTTGTTACCTGTAGTATTCAAATTCTAGGCAGATAAGAACTTTCAGTACTATTCGAATTAGCCATAGAATAAACTAATTCACTTATGTTCTCCATTAATCCTCTCTCCGTTCAGCACTTGTATCGCTATGAGCCATCACCCGTACTTCGTGTCGGTTGCATTCTTTGTCTGCTTTCAAACAGAAATTGACAGTGTGTTGGCGAATCTTCGATAGACTTTTTTTTAAAGGTTTCTTCGTTGCAGGTCTTTTACACGGAGTGTAAGGAACTCGCAGTAGACCAGGTGTTTGCTCGGTTCTTACGAAAATGGGGAACATAATCCGAATCAGGAGAAAAGTGACCGAGGAATTGGACTCTCTCTCTCAGAAGATGGAAGCTTTTCGCGATGACATCGAAAGGACAGCCGAGGTTGGTAAGCAGTTCGTTTCTTCTCTTCCACTTGTTCTGAGTTTCAGTCCAAGCGAATGATTTTGTGGTACCTAACCTTGTCGACGTTCTTCCTGTCTTCGTCGATGATTGCATATGTGTGGATTGTGATGCAGAGAAAAGAACAACGGGTTCGTATTTCATCTCGTCCCCTTCTCTGAACATTCGTATCCCTCGATTTTGAGAACTTTATGTTCAATACAGGTGCTCTACTCAGCTCTGTCTTTCGTGGTTGGTCTGTTAATTTTATGGTTAGGACGGAAGGTAGCCAATGCTTTCTATAACTGGAGGATTACCCGAAAACGTCAGGTAGAATGTGTATGCTAAAATAAAGTGGGTCGGAGGAACTTGTCCTGCTCACCTGAAACTTAGTTTCAGTAGTTCCTACCTCTTCTTCAGGAAATGATCTTAATCCCTTGTAGATATGAGACTGCCCGTAATTTTCTTGCTTTCTCACCATATTGTTATTACCTCTATTGTTATTGTTATTGTTATTGTTAGCATGGGCCTCGTGGCGGAGTGTGTAATGCGTGAATCCCGGGAAGGGAAATCGTAGTTCGATCTGGCCCGAGGTCCAAGTTTTGAGAATATCTCAACTTCGTTGTGGTTATTACTTCTTTTATTCAAACTTTTCAGCTTCAAAATAATTCTAGTAACTAGTACAGCGAATTTGCGATATAGTAATAGTCCGTGGTTTTGGCACTGTTTATCCATTTTAGGGTCTGGATAGCTTGATCGCAAAAAAGAAATCTCTGCTGGAAACTATAAAGGAGACGGAAACATTCAAGGTCTGCAGATTGACTTGTTCTCTCCTTTTGACTGCTAATTTCAACTTAAAGGTTATTCCAGGTTGCCAAAGAAATTTTGGACAAATATGATGAGCAGATTCCTAAGATGGAATCCATCTCTCGAACGCTGTGTGGTAAGTAACACTGGGATTCCACAGCTTCCATTTCAGCGTTATGATGTAGTACAAGCATTTCGTTTAGGTCAACTTGAAAACGCAGGATCTAATCAGTTGCTTTTTTCGAAGCCGGCACATACCAAAAATGTTCCATCCGAGGTACTGTGGTGATGAAAATAGTTCATAATCATTTTGTTTCATTTCGGGCTTAGTAGGCTGGCATAGGTTGTTGTTTATTTCTTCTAGCCTATTGACTATTTTTATTACACTATTGCTTACTTTTTGTGGGTCATTCTTAAACGTTTAGCAAAACTGTAATTCTAGGCTACTCCAAAGGAAGATGCAGTGGTTCGTCCACGTGTGCAGCCTATTCGCCCATTTCAAAAAGAAAGCGTTACGCTTGTAGATAAAATGGTGGACTATTTCTTCGGAGACGGGCCTAGTCAGCGGTATGTAGTGTTCTATTGCTTTGTTTGCGGAATTATTGCGGGAAAATCTGGCAGTACATCAGGTATGCTTTGATATGTATAAATTGTCATGGTCATAATGGTATGGCACTTCCTGTGGAGTACGAGTACCTGGCATTTGTATGTTTTATTTGCGGACACTTCAATCCAGCGAGGAAATTCAAGTATGTTTGACGTTTTGATATGTTTTGTTAGTAAAATGGCAAGGTAAACTGCCAAAGTGATTGTAGGTCCAGCTCCAATAGTGTGAGTATAAATTGAAAAGTGGAGTTCTGGGCTTTTAAGTTTGTAGTATTAAAACGTCCATAATTCTGTGAAAGTCGTAATTTCATTGTGTGGAGAGTATGAACACTGATAACTTAGTGTTGTTCATCTGATAGTCTTCTGATTGATGTCAGTGGTGTTACCGGCAAATATGGCTTTTTTTCCTGAGCTCGTTTTTAGGCCTGTGAAATTACTAACTGGGTCACCTGGATCGTCAGTTCATTCGACTACGAAGCCACATTTACAAACTGTGAGTTTTACTATTCACTGAGTGAATTCATGTGACTGTGCTGTTTGAACCACTCATTGTTAAGTCATTTCGCATTCATTTGGAATTGACTTAGACGTTCGTCAGCCTAGTGCGGTGGTATGCTTTTCATAACGCTTTATATAATCCAATTTATCATAGCTGATAAAAACCAGTTTGAAGTCGAGTTAATGGTTTACGATAGCTTATGTTATGCAAGGGGAGAGTGTGTCGTAGTGGTCGGAGCCGCCCTGCAATACACATGAGGTCGATCAACGCGCCCTAGACCAACCATGCTTTCTATCCTTGCGGTGTCGGGAAACTGGTACCACAATTGTCTGGGAGGATAGGAGCACTGGCTCAATCGGTAGGCCACCGCGAGTTATTTAAAAGCCATATGTGCATCCAATCACTTATAACGATGTTTAATCTAGTCGAATGCATGACGCATCCTTCAGGAATGGGTCAAGGCCGAGAGCTTTACCCTTTTCCCTTTTGTCCTTTATGTTGTATAAATGCAGTGCAAACTTTCGCTGGAGTTTTTTTGTTCTTTGCATTGTAAAACGTGCAATGCTTGTGTTTTTCAGTGTTGTTCATTGTTTTCCCTGTACATGGCGTCCAACTTCCGATTATTGGAGATAGCATGTTGTTGACCAATGTAACTATAACGGCCTAAGATATCTAACGTACAATGACCAAGTAGTCCAATTACTCTAGTCGTTAACTCTCAACCTAAGTAAAAGATCACACTGATGCTGTTGATTGATGTAGTGCCATTTTCTCCTGGAGCATTTGAATACAAGGCATTTGTTGAAACCAAAAAAGCTTATCACTCGTTTACTGTCTCTTTCAATCCACTAGACGGTTGTCAAAACCCTGAACGGTAGGTCCAACTATGACAGTTTGTGTTTGGTAGCTGGAACTGTTGTTTTTTCAATTATTATTTGGAGGTTTGGCTATTTTCCACTCCATAGATTGATGTTTTGTCGATAATTCAACGTTTTCTAGCAGACGTCCACATTTCTTTTTACTTTCTAGACGGATGGAAAATATGTTGTGCACGAGATCAAGTTATTTTTACGCTTTTAGATCTTGGGAATCATAGACGTTCATGTACACTAGTGTTTTGTTCAGTTTTACGCTTCTCTCTGCTCCATAGAAAAGTGTTCTGGTGGAACCCTATTGAATTTTTAACACTAGATTTTTTTTGTTGGACTAAACCATTGAAAATGGAAGCATTATTGTGTGCAATGTATGTGAAACATGGCCAGCTAGTGTTTTTGTTTGTAGAATATTCACACTGTTCCATGTTTATTCCAGGATTCTCCAATTCTCGGTACCGCATTACTGGATAATGACAGAGAACCTGAAAAAACCATTGTAAAAGAGATTAAACCGGTATGTTTTTTCGTTCTTGTTTGTTTTTCATGTTGCTCATTATGTTCGTTAGAATATGTAAAATTGACTGCTTTCATTGATGTTCCGACTTTCTTCCTTCTTTTTCTTCTGTTTCCTTTCAAAAGCGCTGATCTCTCAACGTTAACTCTTGGTTTATAATTAATGTTTTTCGTGTCGATGTTCGAGATAAAACTTCGGAGTCCTTTCTAGGGACTAGTTGGGTCACTTAGCAAGGAACAGTGAGTTTCAGTTCCATTTATTCATCATGCAAAGCCCACTGTCGCGTTTATGTAAGTCGTTAATATTTGTGTAGGATTATCACGCCCTTCTTCTCTTTTTTCTATGATTGCAGAGAAAATGTTTCACATAGACGGTCGTATAGGCGGTAAAGAACTAAATGACGACGTAGAGTATCGGATGGTATTTCAACTATCGCTACCGATTCCTCCAAACCTGCTCTTCTTATGCACGTTTTATAGCTATAATTACTTCATCGCTAATAAAGGGCAATGTAAACGGGGCTTTCTTTTGGCCAAGTGTTTCGTTTTCAGGCGTAGCTTTCCTTATAAACTTATCTCATGGGATTACTTTTTCGTAGCTGTTGAAGATGGCTATAGAACCGTTTCTTAGGTCATTTCTGTATGCTACTTATGTCAAAGTTGCAGAAATTCTACATAGTGTAAAAAGGATAAAAGGATAAAGGTCTTGGCGTTGATCACCTGAGGGGTGCGCCGTACATTCGATTTCATTAAGCATCGTTGAAGGTGATTGGATGCATATCAGGTCTTTGTAATGACTCGCGGTAGCCTACCGATGTATTGAGCCAGTGCTGCTATCCTTCCAGGTAAGTCTGGTATCAATTCGCCTTCCCCAGAGGGTTGGGCGGCTTCGTGGGCTTGAGGCGCTGGGGATCTATCCCATGAGTATTGCAGGGTGCCCCCGAGCGCTGCGCTACTCGCGCCCCATCCCAGTGGAGTTCTTAATGGTTTTTATCTTGATTTGTTCTGAGTTGAGAAGTGCCACTTTAAAAACGTGGGTTGTCGGGTATTGATTTTTCACAAGCCTATATGTATATATTTATTTATATATACATATAAGCGTATATATATATATATTTTTCTACTACATGACCCGTCAGTCACACCCATTGTGGAGATCCCAGAACTTTTGCATTCGATTCGTCTCCTCTCATCCGACATCCACAACGGTTTTCGAACATTTCGCGTCTGACTTCGGCTACTGCTTGAGGATTTCTTTTTTATGAGTGTCGTAGAATACTGGTCGAGTCAGTTCTCCTTGCAGTCTTGGGGATAGTCCGGCTGAGGCGTTTCCATATGGATTGAGGGGGGTATTGTGGCGGGGATCGAACTGGCGCCTTTGCTTCCTGATCGACGTCATCGCTAACCACTTTACTATCTCCGTCTCGTATATATGTATATATTTACATGCTTATTTATGAAATTTGTTTATTTTATGCGACCCTTTCTTATCTACTGTGAGGATGCTGGCACTGCTTGTATTTTATTCGTTTCATCGCATCCATCATCCACGAACATCCTCTAACTTCTTGCGTGTGGTTTTGTCTTTGATGATTTTCTTTCGTAGTGTACGACGTTGTGTGCTGGTCAGTTCGATTCTCCGTAGGGTTATGAGATAGCTGGGCTAGAGCTCACTTCAATTTCAGAGGATGGATTGTTCCTAGATAATTCTGATACTAGTAACAGATAAGTCTCATAACAATTCCCCGACCCCGGAGGGATGAGAGCCCTGGTGAGTCTGATGCGGAGTTGAACCAGCATCGCTCTCTTGGTGAATGGCATCGGTGTCACTTCTCTACGTTTCTCTACATATACTGATGCTTCCTGTTTTTTTTTCTTTGTACTGTTGTTCTCTATCCATATATTTCAGGACGATTCTTTTGATGACTTGTCAGAGGAACATGTGGATGTGTTGAAATCTATATCAAATTCTTCATGAAATGTGGTACTATATTAGGGACCATAGTGTACGAGGTAGTCATACATCCACGTATATATTTTTGCTGAATTACATTGTATTTTTAATAATTTTTGGCGTATTGTTGCGCGGTTGCTTCTTTTGCATTAATTTCGGACTTTTGTGCTACGTTTATTAATCCAGCACTATTTATTCAAGGAACAGATATTATGTTATGCAGCAAACTTTAAATTTTCCTTGGGAAACGTTTTGTATAGTTGATATTCGCCGTGGTAAGTATCTTTGAGTTGATAAAACAAATTTTTTACAAATGTTTGACCATATGAGACGATATTTATAGCGTATGATGACCGCTTTTGTCCCCAACATATGTTGTAGAACGTTTTCATATGATGTATAATTCATTTGTTTTGGATATCCACATATATGTTGTACTTTCAACGACATTGGTGCTTAGTATTTAATCCTTTTTTTTCTTGCTTACATATATTTTTGCATATTTCTATCTTGCATATTGTGAATTTCGTGCAGTACTACATAGAGTTGAAGGGTGAATACTGTGAAAAATAATAATATGTAGTAAATAAAAAGTTGAACATTTTGATCTCGGCACATCCTCAGGTAAACTAGGCTATGTGCTGATTTTACCTCACCATATCAGTCCCACTGACGGGTGTTTGCTGATGGCAGCGTTAGGTAGAAATCTAGCTGAGAGAAAAGCACGACAAGAGCCTCAACGGTGCAGTACATAACATATGAGTCCCGGAAAGCATAATCGCTGTTCGATTTCGCCTCGAGTCCCAGTTTTGCAAATATCTCGGCGTCATAGTGGTTGTATTTCACGTCATATCCTCCCGTGAAAAATTAAACATAAAGTTTGTTTTTCATCGTTTCATTAAAGGGTGTTATAATCAGCTTCTCTGATTAGCTTCTTCTCCTTAGCACTTGTGTTCAGTGAATGGGTTTCGTTTTGGGTGTGCTATTTGTTTGTAGTTTTTTAGGCGTGCCAAATCCATCTATCTGTCTCAGCATCTGTAATTCTATTGCTCTCCTAACGTTTCATTGACGTGGGTGAGAGATGTTCCTGGGTGTCGAGCTGCGAAGCAGAACGAGGAAGTTCGTTTTCCATGCTGAGAAGGAGTCCGGCGTTTCCATCAGGAAGTCTACCTAAGAGTAAACTAATAGCAGGATCCCCCACCGTCTTGATGTCAAAGTTGTATGGTGGCAAATCTCTCTCTGATCCACAAGGGCTGCGACTGCCTGTGGCGGTGAAGACCTGGGGCAGACTTTGGCCAGGCTGAACTAGGGATTCCAAAGAACCACAATGGCTTAACCAGCAAATCTCCGAAACGTGGAGGTTATGCTGGCGACCGCATAACCAGTGAGGACAGGCCATTAAAGTATCAAGTATCATGTAAGTAATTCTATTGTTTACAGAGTTGATTGAGCGGATACTAGTGAAACGTTCATAGTTTGCCATTGCTAAGTCAACTCCCTCGCAGGACACGAAGAATTGTAGGCATTTTGGAATGAAAGCATTTATTTTTAGTGTTTGGCGAAAAAAGCGGCCACGCATGCCTCGTCAGACTATTGCGACGTAAATATGCCCTTACGTTTTATCAAAATGCTAGCAAATGTGAGTGTTTATGTTTAGGGTGTGTTTCACCAAACTTCAAACTTAGGTAGTCGAACTTTTAAACTTTTATTACGATAGACTGATGAAATAGTTTATGGAAAAAGTAAGATATAAAATACATCCCAACCAAAAAAGGGAGAAGCAAGCTGTAGTAGAAGAATATATAAGTAGATGACAATGAATTCTGTATGCATAATGGATTCAGAAGCCAGTGAGGTAGACATAACTTATCCAGTCAGTGTTTTTTAGGAATACCAATGTTAACACAATGAATTGGCAGTGCACATGCTCAAGCACTGGCTCTTACAAGTATGCATCCGCTAATAAACTAAATTACAGAACTGTCAATCAGCTGCAAACTACACGAGCTTGCCATTCGGAAGGAATTTTGCGACAGAAAGTGAGTAAGAAAGTGGATATTCTTTTTTTGTGATATCACTCTCTAAACGATGGAATTCGGACTCCCTAGCTTGCACGGCTCACTTTAACATCACAGTTCCACGACCAGGAACATCGCCTGACCGTAAAGCAACGATAAACGCACTCTGTTGCTCCATTTCAGTCGTTTCTCTTTAGTGTTCGTTGATATCTCTTTATTTTGGTAGTGCTTTAGCAACGTAGCACAAGTTACTAGGAGAAATCATGTGAACATGATCTGGATAAATGCTTACTAAGGACAGTGCGACAGGAATTCATCCTTGATGTTAACGCGTCCTACGATGCATTCGTTTTCTGTGAGCTTTTTAGAAAATTCGCATGGCTGTTCTGTGCAAATGTTATATGTTCTATTACATAGTTTCAGTACTCTCTTTATTGATTTGAATTTAATGGAGTTCTTATACTCATTACCTATGCGGAGGTGCGTGGGAGTTTATATGCAAATTGTCCACCTAAAGCGGAATTAGAGGATAAGGTTATTTATCGACATATTCTTGTGTAATAAAAGGATAATAAAAAGATAAAGTTGTTGGCGTCGATCAATCTCAGAGGAATGCGCCATGTATTCGACTTACTAAGCATCGTTTGGAGGTGATTGAATGCATGTCTGCCCTTCGCAATTACTTGCGGTGCCTTACTGATGTATTGAACCAGTGCTGCTGCTATCTTCCTACACAAGTGTGCTGTTAATTTGCTGACCGTGGAGGGTGAGAAGGCTTGGTGGGCCATGGGCGCGGGGATCAATCCCATGTGTGTATTGCAGGACGCCTCCGACAACTGCGCCACACGCAGCGGTCTGTTGTGTAATAGTCGGAGCAAAGTATACCCTTCCGTTTACTTCTGTATTTACTATGGCACCGTAATAATGGTAATTTCATCCTAATGTCACGCTAATGGAAGGTATTCAAGGCGAATGCGATTAGCTTATTAGTGGCTTCACTGTCAGCAACTGTATTATGAGTTGTAAGGAATGTCTAGTAAAGATGGTGATTATTCACTTCATCTTTGATGGTAGCAAATTTGCGGCATTCCTTGCTACAGCTCTTCCTTAGTGCATTAGCGGATTTGGAATAGCTTTCAAAGGTCCTTGTGATTTTTTCTTAGTATCATATGGCTTGTGTATCGTTCAAAGTGTGTGTCGATATTAGGGCTGGTCGACATTTATGGTTGGACATTTGAATGTGTAGTTTTATATTGTAATGTTCGCATTTATTCCTTTCTGAGCCGTAGTGAGTTATATGTGACTCATGCGTTTTCAAGTAAATTGGGTGAGTGAGTCACATGTAATGCATTCTCCTTTCTGCTCCTTATTTTGTGGCATAGTGCCTTTTAGCTGCACTTTTTGTCAGGTTTCCATAGCTTATTCAGCGCAGATGTTGTGTCAGGTGTCTACTGGGAATAGTTCTATTACAGACTTAGAAATGGTGGGGGCCTAATTCCGGACCGTTTTATCTACATATACTTCTTACTAGAGTTCGTTTAGCGCAGTGGTTAGATATGCACTGCAGCACACACGTGGTCCTTGATTCGATCACACAGCTAGAACTCACCAAACCTTTCATCCCTCCAGGGTGGGGAAATTTGTGCAAGACTTGATAGGATAGCTTTATTGACTTGGTATTTAGGTAGGTCACCGCATGTCCTTGTATGGGGCAGATATGTTTTCAATCAACTCTACAATGCTCGACGAAGTCTAGAATGCACGGCGCATCTTCCAGAGATAGTTCAACGCCGAACACTCTATCTTTTATCTTTTGTACGGTCATACTTGGCGGAGAGCGATTGCTCCTTTTGCAATAAATGCAATTACGCCCCAGCTCATAGTGAACGTTGTTATCACATATAAGACAAAAACCCTACAAGGTACAAGTTCTGTTGTACTACAAAGGTGAAGTTCCAACCCTTTGGAGCAAGCAGAACGTGGTTCTTTACTTTTTTTCGAAGATCATATTTCGAAGGTCGAAGCGATTGGGTAGTCGTGATGTCGTGGAACATGGCAGGATGGTGTACTCCAATGTTCCCTTTTATTTGTGGCTGCCCTGCTTACACTAATGATTTTAAAAAATTTAACAATGAATAATACAGAAAGCTGGATTATGTAAACAAAAGTAAAACAAGAATGGCAGAGCCATTTGTTAGAGGAAAAGACTGCGGTGGATGATGTGAGTCAGATATTTCTCCTCGTAAGAGCTGCTGAAAATTAGTCGTCGACACTACTGGTTAATAGTTTGCGCTGTGAACATGAATTACTGTGAACTAGGATGACAATTTCTCATGTGACCAATCCGATTCAAGCTAATTCTCTTTCTTCACGCTATGTTTTACTTTCTCCACAACAGACTACGGTTTTTCTTTCCTGAATAGTTGATTGTAATTTTTTCAAGTTTTGAAAACGTTTCCGTTTTCCTCCTTCCATAGATTCGCCATTATTTCCCATTACAGTTAAACGTTAAGCGTTGCTTAAGTCCGTAGAGGAAATGCAATAAGTAGGCTGATTATGAAGCACTTACCAGTTCTCGCTTATCCACTGCGCACCACCTAAGCATGAAATATGTAAGAATTGCCATAGTGGTATGTGAGTCCTACCGGGGAAGCGATCTAGAAGAACCGTGTTGCTAGTCAGTTATTGCACTCGCCTCTCGAGTAAAATGCGGCAAAATCCCATAAGTTCCTCTTATATTTTTCCTTTGGAAACGTTCTCATTGGAATGATCTGTGAGAGCTATGATTACAGAAAAATTTGATTTCCAAGAAATTCATGATTCTTATTTTTTTTCCACTAGGTAAATGCCACACCCGCATTTTTGAAACACTGCCGATTGCTTTAAGTCTTGCTCTAATTGGTGTTGTATAAGCTTATTCCAAGGGGTATTGCAATTTCCTTCAAAGAGCGGTGAGCACCGGTAGAGATCGATTCCGTGTCAAGTCAATTGTGATAATATACTGTTATGAATGTTACAGCAGTTATACATCATTATAATTTCTAAGCATGGAATTTCTGTTGGTAGTTTTCACTTCCATTAATGCATTTCTAAAGGACCTTCTATTCCGCAATTGATTTTGTTCAAAGTAGTTCATATTACGATCTTACGTCATAAATAAGTAGTGCTGAATCCTTACGCTTTCAAGTTTCGGTTAGTTTAGTCCTTATTTTATTTAGTAAGTAATGTGGCTAGGATTACATCGTTACTGGGTTCTATTCTATGGTATTTCGTTTTAAACTTAAATTTCTCGGCATTCTGTTTATTTTCATCGTGGAACCTATAGCGCTGAACTTTCTTTCGCATTCCTTATTCAGGTTTTATATATTCAAATGCTGTAGCTCATTAGTATACTGATGTTTCAGATTAAACGCTAACAATCTGCAACGACTAGGAGCGTTTCTTGCCGCTTGCACAAAGAGGGTGTTGTCATTTTTGAAAATGTCATCGTTGTGCAGAACATAGATTTATGCGTTAACAGTGCATTACCACGAACAGAGATAAATCGTTCTTTTAAACGAATCTCTAAATCATGATCAGTTCGATGGCCGGTTGACTCGACGCACCTCTTCACTTCCGTCCAAACCGAATAAATTCGAACTTATTCCGGCGTTTCTCGGCGATCTTTACTGGTATGCCTAGGAATGTCATATTCCTGCACTCATAGCAGATGGTATATGTTGAGGAAACGGCAATCATTCCTACCTTCTTGCATATTCTCAATAGTTGCAAGAGTGTTTAGCAGTTGTGAAGAAATCTGAAATTGCTTAGTTGGAAAGTCCATTACCGTACTCAATTTCCAACAAACCTTAGCGAGCATTTCACTATTGTCGCCTTCGTACATTAACGGTTCCATAAACTCCGGCGTTCCTTTGACATCTAAATAACTTTTCCTGAGACGTCGCAGTTATTACTTTTATAAGCTGACAAAAGAATTGCTAACAGTCCATATAAGGCATCTTAAAAGTTATCTGTTCTTGTCCAACTAATGACTACCTTATTCTCCATCGCTCATCCACTTTTATTTCTAAAACTTCAATCAGGGTATTCTACAATACATTCCAGCTTTTTATAGAACACTGATTAGAGGGAAAACACAAAACATCTACAGCAATTCCATTGAACAGCAGTATAATAGTTATGGTGTGAAACCCATATTTAACTTTACAGAAAAAACTTGAAATGAACTTCTACCTCTCTAAAAAAGAAAGTTCATTGTCATTTTTGTAATAAACAACTAAATAGTTGCTACTCATTCAAATCTCAGTATTCATCCTACTTTTCCTAGCATACTTCACTGATGGATTTAGTATATCATTCGTCAGCAGTTGAATGGTTTACTGGTTTTTCTTTTATTCTTACGACGTCTTGTGGTTATTACATTAACAAAGCCACCTTAAAGTAGTTAATGTGCACCAAGGTTGCAGTTTTGCAATAAACTCACGTGATTTCTGTGCGTTGATGACGAAACTGCTCAGAAGGAGAAGAACAATGGTCGCAGCCAGCATTATAGATAGTCAAGTTCTCGTTTCGGTAGTTATGACGGAGCTTGATATAAGAGAGTGACTGAGAAATGTTGGTAAAAGGGCGGCACGCAATCAAGCTTAGAGTGACTGAATTCGCGATAGTGCTCCCTCAATTGTTCGACATGAACACGCAGTGTACGGGACCGCCTCTCTCGTCTCGCCGTACAGAAACAAACAATAACCCAATTAGTCCAGTCACATCCTCAAAATGTCTCAGTCGTTCTCTAGAATTGTGCCGCTCTGCTCAACAATCGCTCAAATTGCCTTCAGATTGGAATGTAAGTAATCATGACATCAGCGCGATTAAATATACATTGGCGACCGCTCACTCTGAAGCACGGTCGTCAGCTTGTTACCACACAAACGTCAAAAGATAATGATTGACTTATTAGCTATCGTCAATACTTCGTGATTTTATCTTAGAACACTACAAGAGAAGCAATTAAACCAGTTGAACTGCCACCTAATGTTTCAACTATAAAAAGGGAAACAGTGAAGCGCTTATAGATTGCTTAACTGTCCACTGGCTAAGCGTTTTACAGAGTTTTACATATGTTCTGCAAGTCGTGCTGTATTAACCGCTGATTTTAATGATGCAGTTTGTTTCATGTTGTAAGCACGAGTATCCGAGGAAAGGGTTTATAAATTCCAGGTTGTTTCAAGTAATTATGAAGCTTGTAAGCCTTCCGTTCGCATCTCTAAAACGAATTTAGAATTATTCTGCATGTCAGATCCGGAACTAAGAATCATATCTACGAACTTCGAGACTTTACCACTATAATTTCCGGTTGCGTTGATGTACTCGCCTCCACTGATATGTTGGCTTGGCTAAAGTGGAAGTTTTCTCAAAACAAAAATTAAGGAAATAGCGTAACCGTGCACTTAATTTTGAAGATTGACACGTATAATTACTTAAATTAGATGTGTATGAAAGAGCAACCATGATGAAGTTACCTTTCCAAAAAGAAAACAAAGTTCTGTAGTATCTAAATACCTAAATAGTGATTCATTTTACTCATTCCTACCTAAACATGCCCAATGAGCTTCTCGCTCGCGGTAAACGAAGAGCAGTGCACTTATGTATAGCTGTCCTTAGAGGCTTTCCAAATCACTTTCGGCGATAAAATACACAGTAGGTTGGAGTGTTCTTTTGGACTAGGCGGATGGCATGTGTCATCAGGAGATGATGATGAACGACCTCTCAATGAACTGATGGACGTTAGTAAGGTGGCCCATTACAGCATAATCACTTTTCGCGAACTAATAAAGCCTACCAATCACATTTAAAGGTGAAGAAATGGTTAGACTTTATTCGCCTATAATATCAAAAGAGTGCAAGGTCACAGATGACATTTAATAGAAAGGAAAATGCCGTATTACGACCGTAATACAGTTCGTGCATATTACTTACTTGTATACTTTAACGGCCCATCCTCAGTAATTGTGCTGGCCCCAGCATAATCTCCATTTTTCGGAGTTTTACTAGCTTAGCCATTGTATTTCCGTGGAGTCCCGAGGTCAGCATAGGCAAAGTAGCCCCAGGTCATCATTACCACAGGCAGCCGCAGCCATTGTGGAACAGAGAGGGATTTGCCACTATGCGACTAGTTAGATACCAAGACGGCGGTAGATCCTGGTAATAGCTAGGTTTCCTGATGGAAAAGCCTGAATCTTTCTCAGCTTGAGAGACGCTACCCGGGGTGAATCTTCCTACTATATACACAACCCGACATCCAGAAAAATCTCCCAGCCAAGATGAGGCGGTATTACAGTTGGAAACTTTATGTGTATTAGCTTCTTATGTATTGAAAATATTCAAAAATGTTGCACGTGAGAAGAAAACTAACAATGTTCATAGCACCATATTCTAGAGAATCTGTGCACAACGGCATTGCAAACTTAGGCATGTCAACGAGTAGTAATATGGAGTGTTCACTTTCTCTCTAACAAGCGAGGAAAAGAATTTCTGGAAGAGATGGAGGAAAATACTATAACGGGGTGGATAAAGCATGAAAAACGCATATGAAGCTGACTGCCTTCACGCATAGGTGTCTCAAGGGGAGAAGCATAAAAGCCATAAAAGGCATTTATGTGTGGTTGATGGTGTTTCTGTATATGATCCGGTACCTTGATTAGAATTCAAACGATGTCAGTGGCTGCAAGTTTTCTATTGTATTGAATTTTAAGTCGAGGGAAGTTGATTTTCACTGTAACATAAAAGCACCAAACTTTTTCTACAGTTAGAGATTGTTACATTGCTTCGCTATAAGATTTGTGAGGAACTGTTCATTTCTCGCGTAATAACAGTAATAGTAATTTATACCTAGCTGTTTCAGCGTTTTCAGATATCTTATACTGTTATATCCAACCGATGTGGAAGCATAGAACGAAATTGCAATAGAGTTGTAAATACTTGTTTAGACTGTCTTTCTACAAAACAGACGACAGCTTATTAGGCTCTTGCTTTTATTCAAACTGGTTTTGTTAGAATTTTTCATGATTTAAAAAAGTTGATGTTAAATCACCTGATTCTGTTGCCGGTTTATTCTCCGTGAGCTTCTGGAAACCATGTTTCGCTCCGAGCTTGCTGAACTCAATCGTGAATCGTTGTTTCTTTCGTTATGGTGATTCCTCTCGCTTTGTTGCGAGCTTCGATGTGCTTTAGTATCTTTTGACCGATGTCTCTCGACAGATACGACAGGGTCATAACTGTTTGCAGATCGTCTGAAATGCGTTAGGCAAAAATTTTGATTTGAGGAAAAAATTCAAATATATTAGAAAGAAAATAAGCCCGGTAACCTTGAGGAAGTTCTGTTACTTTTTCTTGAAACTGATTTCGATCGTATAGCTGGGATAACAGCGCTGCCGTGATCGTCTTTTACCTAAGGAAAGTAGGTTTAACCTGTGTTTAACTTTTTATTTACTACCTATTGTTTTCTCACTGCAGATTATTATTTGAAATACAACCACGATGAATAAGTTATTTGGAAAACATAAGAACCCTAGCCAGCTTCGAACCTCGCGAGTGGACAGCATTGTGGTTAAAATTGACCTGTTTTACTAGAATCGGCTCAAATCTAACCATTCTGCGTTTTAACACTTACTATTTTAAAATCCAACTCTCCTTGAATTATGGTTGAGCACATTCTCCCTATTTTTCTTGAATGGGAGGGCTAAAGCGTTCCCACTTAGTCTACAGAAAGTTACCTGCTCCGAGCATGTCTGCTAACAATTTTCTGATCCCTGAGGAGGGAGAGCCATGGTGAGGCCGATGCGGTGTGGGACCGGCACCATGCTCACGTTGAAGGACATTACTACCACGCTTCTTTGTAGTAACGCATTGGTCTGTGATGCTGTCCATCAGGAACTATGGTTCTTGTTCGAACTCCTCCCAACTTCTTCCTCTAATCCACGTGGGAACGCCTTAGCTTGAATATCTCCAAGATTAGAAGGAAAATCGACTCGACGAGCATTTCACGACATTCATAAAGAAGATTAAATTTTCAAGCAGCAGCCGACACAACATGCAAAATATTGGAAGGCCTCTGTGGACGATGTTTACAAGGAAAGGGAGTCGACTGCACGAAGCTCTGGGATTCGCACAACAGATGTGATGACGGGTCATGCAAAAATATAGGAGTATCGAATTTTATTTTCCGTTCGATAAGTTCGGTTCCCAAGAATCCCAAAAGAAAACAGAGCCATAAACTAGCAATAACACTTTTCAAACTGAGAATCTAGAACAAGGTCTTCTGTTGAATGAAGAAAGACGTGATTGAGTGGGACCACTGTAATTTAGCTCTGATGTTCATGGCGGTGAGTGAAGGTATTTCTAATGATCAACTTTTTATCACACTTGAAGTGAATCAACGCTACTGAAGACTCCGCATGTTATCTGAAATACATAATCAAAATCCGCGTATTTTTCCCTTTTTTAGACAATTACAGGATTAACAAATAGTACCCATAGAGCCACACATTCAGCCTAGCATGTAACCTACTTTCTCCTGCCACGCAGGCTTCTTTTCCCACCACTCCAGGCGTGATTCGTTGGGATTCGAAGCGGAATTTTGCTGCTCTGAATGAGTATTTTCACCTTCGAATTACGTCAATTTTATCAATAAACTTCGAACGGCTGGAACTTAAGCTACCTCTTTCAAGAGACACTGGGGAAGAGCGTAAGCGGTGAGACACTGCTTTGTTCCTATTACTTTCCATTATTTCTTGGCTTTGCCTTTCTATTTTTTGAGCTCTTTCTTTCAGTTTTCTCTTTTCCTCTTCTTCTTCCTGTCTGATCTTCTCATTGTATCTTTCTAGTCTAGAAGTAATGGATATTGCTAATTGATTTTTAAGCGATGATTCGTTTATTGTTTGAGCAAACCACAATAATGAAACTGTACTCCCCTCCTAATTTCACGCTCTTCTTCTTTTCTTTCCCATTCTTTTTCTAGTTCTCGTCTACGTTTGTTTTCCTCTATCTGCTTTAAAAGATCCACCTTATGCCGTTCACTTGGTGATAAATTCCTAAAAAGCTGAAACTTCTTGAAACCATATATTTTTTGAAATCAAGTGTATATCATTTCCATTGTCTAAGATTCTGGAATTCTGTAACCGTCTTACTTCTTCTGGAGATTAGGCATGCTGGCTGAACCGTTGAATGGAACGAGAGGTCCGTCTGCTGAATTTGAAAAAGAAGGTCCACTTTGTGAAGTCTAAAAATTACCTTTTTTTATTGTTATTACTCACAGTTCTTGGTAGAAGCACCATTTCACAGAGCTCAGACTTTGCTGTTTCTTGTCACACTGACAGTGCCGGAAACTATTACGTGAGACAGATTAGAGAAGTAATTTTCTAAAAGGAAAGTAGTACACCTGGTTCGATTCGCCGAGCCAGAGCCTTGATCTACGTATGCCTGATTGAGGTTGTGGATGGGGAACGGTCCACGATGGTCCGTCCTATGGAAGAAGAGGTCAGACACAACTCTCATTGATTATTATATTTTTTTAGATTGCTCAACTTAGACGATATTACTTCTTTGATCAGTTTAAGCACGTAGAAGTGATGAACTTGATGCTAAGCACGTTGAATTGTAAGATTATAAATTTTCTATTTCTGGGAAAACCATCACACTTTAGCGAAATAATTAAGGACCTGTATTTCCTTATTATCATGCGAAATTATTAAACGATAATATAGAGGGTATTTAAAATAAAACAAGAACACATTTAAGAAGTTGTAAGGTATATTAATTACGGTTTCGTTCTGGTGCTGCGGTTTCGAAATCATCCATTGAGGATTGGAGTTCACTGTTGGGCTTTCGTATGTATAGTTTTCCTGCAACAGGCTGGCTGTATAGAATACTTACGACGGTTATATAATGTATAGTGAAAAGTCAACCCTTTATTATGTGTTACATGGTACGAGTAGTCAACAAATGCACAACAGTTAATGGTACGAAACTGGCGCAAAGTAGTGCTCGCTTTTGTCGTTTGTAAACTTAAAAGAAATTGCAACGCACACTTATTGTTTAGCTTTGATAAATACTTCTTTTCCGACCATTGAAAACTAAGAATTGATCTAAAATTTCATCTACAACGATCTCAAGCTGCTTAGAAGGATTCCGTCCAAGCAATATTTGATAGTTCAAACTTGAAGGTAAACTAACTGTTGCAACTGGTAACGTCGTTAAAATATGAAAAAGAGAAGAGATCCTGAAAACACAGTGCAAAAATGGTTCGTTGAAAATATGAGTCTTCATCAGGTCTTGGGCACCCATTAGTACTTGGCGAAAATTATTGGAAGCCAATAATCGAAGCGTTCACTCCAAAAGTAACTTAAGGTGTTTCAGACTTATAGTTCAACGGTAACAATTCAAAAATCGTTAGTCCTTCGTTTAATAGACACTAAAAATGTGAAAAACTCGATAAATTGGACCACATGAATTGCAAGAATTGCGACTAAATCGCAGTCATCAATTCCGTTCCACTCTTCTTTCATACAGCTTTTACCGCTTTATGGCATACGATAGAAAATTGGCTCCGCACGACAATCAATTACATATAACTTGAAGGTTGGAATGAAATGAAGCTCCTAAATAGTCCGAATATGTCTCAGAGAGTAGCTAGTATAATGTATTCGTTTCCGCAGATAGAATCAGCCAACAGAACGTCTTAAATCTTGGCAAAGCGATCACATCAGGAAAACACTATCACAAAATCGATGAAATTCTACAAAAACTGCAGAGTAGGCATAAGTATAAACAATAGAAAAAACTGCATTCATCGAACTTCCTGGTAATCAACTACCACTCGTACTAGACATTTTGAAAAGTACTAACTAAAGAAAGTTTCAACATCCACATCACTGCCAAAATCTGCTACAGTTTAATAAAGTTGTGGTCCAGATGACGCTTGAAGGCTTGCTCCGAGACAGCCATCATTTTTGCACTCATCGGAGATACAGAATTTTAACATATTGTCACCGACGCCTAATTTTCTGTAGCGAACGTGTGGGTCATGATTAATTTTACGCCACTGGAGCTATGAGTCGTACATGGGTTATGTCAGCTAAGGCTCTCCTTCGGAAGAGCGCGCCATTTTTGTTGTACTCTTTGCTCAATAATACACTTTTCCTGCTTTCTGTTTCGATGATTCCCATGCTTCTTATATCCTCAGTATTCCCTTTGATCTACTCTTTCCATTCCTTTGCAAGGTGTACAACTTTTATTTGATGAAAAAACGTTCGTGAACTAGCTACGTTTCTCTCAGAATTTGATAACGTTTTGTAAGATATTTGAAGCACATTTTCGTTTATCCTTATAATCTTTATATCCACCGAGCCCATACGATGAGCTGGAGCCGCCAGAGCTATTTGGAATTAAATAATAATGAATTACTGGCTAAGTATTGAATTAAATAGATTCAAATCATGCTAACGACCGAAGAATAAAACTGTATTTTATATTAACTGCCATCGCGGTGAATCTATGAATTCTGTGCTGTTGCCTTTGAATGGAAAACATGAAGTGTTTCGAAGAAGGAGCAGCAGGTATGAACAGAAAAAGAAGAACTCATGGGAGCTAAGTAACAGCTCCTGAAGTGTTTCAAAGGTTCATTGGTTTGTGTCTATTACATATCCTTTATGCATTCTCTCATAGTGTTAACCTTTGGTAGTCGATTTCGCACCATATTGACCTTTATCTATATATCTACTAGTATTTTTTGCCAGTATATTTACCTCTGATCACACTTATCATAATAATACGAAGGAAGCGAGAATCAATTCAAAAACAGGCACGCACTACCCCTGTATGGTATGCACGGAGTTCCCTAAAAATGCTATGATATCGATGTTAAATTCCGCGTACCTTTCAGCTAGCTCCTCAAAGCCGACGGCAGTCGAAAGTTCTGCTAGAATCGGCTACTAGTGGATAAAAGCAGCCAGATGGCGATTATGCACTGTATAGAGTAATAACACTAGGAAATGGTACACGCACTCTTTTTTCTCGATGGTTTATGTATATAGGATTATTTCTCTCGTATTCCAAATATTCCTCCCCCCCCTCCCCTTCATTTGGTCATCCAGACATGCATTTTAAAGACTTGATGGATCTATCTGACAATATTTCTTTGATTTGCAATCATGTAGCTAAGACTGCCACCTGTGGATCATCAATTCGGAACATCCTGCGTCTGAAGAAGACGAAGACGTCGAGACGTTAGCAGAATAAATCTTTTTATCAACCTTGTGTTTGCTTAATAGTTGAGGAAGGCATGTGACAATATCAGAAAGTGCAATGCCTTCAATCCTACTCGATTTTTATTCATATGAACACTCTGAATTATCCACCAGCTGGAAGATGAAAGTCAAAGATATTCACCTAGACATTCAATCGACCAACGCTGGAAGAGTTGGAGACGTTATGCTGGCAGTTGTAGGGTTCTAAGTTATGACCTCAAATCTTTTAAAATTCGCACCTTTGTAGAAATTGTGAAGTTGTATCTGAGTACTGTAAATATTGTAACTCTACAGAATTATAATGGATGTAATGTGCAAATCGTGTGGAAGATGTAAGCATTGAAGACGGCGTTACACATTGTGGTCATTACAGAATATGGAAAGAAGCGCTAGCATCGTCTTTTGTGGTGAAATGTAGTGAGTAGAATGCAACAGTTACAGCATCAGTGTAATTACAACAACAAGTAATATAAGCAAGAGAGTTGAAATTACAATGTCTGAAAAAATAGCACGTTGCCTTTTCATATATTCCAAAACGTTTCACAAAATTTTCCTCTGTAGTTCCTCAACCTATCGTGGCGCCAAAAATATCCTAGGTTGCGAATTTCGCCACGCTGGTATAACAGATATGTTAGAGCTTTCCGTGGGATTCAACTCAGACCAAAAAAATTTGTCGGTTTTTTCTAAAAAATTCCAAGTGTAGAATTGAGTTTCTTCCACTCAACGCCCTGCAACATCTGATGGGATAGGCTTATCGAATGATTGCAAAAGGTGCTGCGAAAAACCTCGAAATAGCAAAACGAGTAATGAAAAGGAAGAGTTACATATGATTCATGTCGGCCAGTTTGCCGCGAATCGCATGGAAATAATTCATTTTTTCATAAATGTGTTAAACGTGCGCAGAATATTGGCGAAGTGTAAAAGAATAGGGAAGATTTCTGACAGTCAGCCTGTAATTTATGCTCAATCTTAACTAAAATGCGTTAAGAGGACGCTGGGGTTCACATTAATTGTTATTTCAACGGTTAAATGGGAGAAGAAGGATTGGGCTAAGCAAAATAGAGTCATGATTACTTACAAATTCTTCTAAAATGTACGTTCGGCATACGGAAAATGCTTTTTCTTTTATTTCGCTATTGCTGAAGCTAATGCGTTTGTGGAAGTGATTAATTACGCACTGGTAATTACAACCTGGAAGAACTGAGCAAATCTATTAATTTCACTATACGAGAAAGTGCATAATCAGAGAAGCCAAATGGCGGAAAAGTAATGAGATCCTTGCTGCAGAGGTTTGAAAAGAAAACTAACGTTGTTTTTATATGGCAGAGTAGGTTGGGTTTCTGTCTTGCTTTGCATAAAACCTGCGCGGTCCCTATTACTCGTGGTTGAAGAAGAGTTGCCGATTCTTTGATTGTGCAAGGAAACACTGTTCTGAAGTATTATTAAATTGCAGCAACGAGACAAGAAGCAAAATTATCGGTAAATCGAGTACTAAAGTAAATAAATAAAGCTACTTTAAAGAGTAAAACGAATGGAAAAAATCCCAACGAACCCCAAATTGTTGATTGATCAAGTAGTTCAGCTCTGGTTCTATCGGTACATAGCATAATTTTCCATCCGAACAAAGTACACGCAAACCGATGATTGAGCCGATTGGATCAACGTAAGGTGAGTGAAATGGCATGTGATGTTGCGGTAGTGCATTGCTGCATAGGCACTGATGATCAGATTGATGATTGCCGTCTTGAAGAGGCACTATTTCCAAATCCTCCGATTGCACTTGTTGGAAAGATCGTGGATGTGAGTTCCCGGGAGAAACAAACGGATCCTTGAGATTACCGCTGAAGTTCGACTCTTGAATAGGCGGGTTGGAACCGTAGGTCCTAACCATGGAAGAGCTAATGCTGTTATACCGTACTTACGATTTCGCTGAAAACTTTATATTTAGGGGTAGAATGCGAAAGATTCGTTCAAAAGATGGAAGAAACTAACCGCCTTAGTTTTGTATCAAAAGAGGGAAGGAAATATGTGTAGTTGTCAAGGCAACACGATGCGCTCAGACAACAACGCCATAGTCGATGCAGTTATTCTATATTGAACTTTGTTGACAACCTCAAAGCAGTAAAAATGTGTCTATCAGCACAAGTGACATCTGTGTAGAAAGCGCATTGTTGTCGTACTAGAAATGAGTCAATGCGTCAAAACGTTTGGAGTTGACCAACATCTGAGAGATCCGTGATACATTTAGCTCAATTAGCATATAACGCCTGAAATTAATATAATCTTATATAATGCGTGCGTGGATTGAGTGGACGAAGTTCATCGTAAGCAATTTCGCTTAGCCGCGGTGTATATTGCTTCACAGGCGTATTTTATTCTAGTTTTTGCACTCTTTTGATAGCTGGTCTAACACTGGTGTTATATCAGGCGTACCCCTTGAAAACCGGTTCACACAAGAAAACTGGAGAAGTTCTTTTCGAGGGAGAGAGAGAGGGAGAGATTGAGAGAGAGAGAGAAAGAGAGAGAGAGGAACAGAATACGCATCACACACAACGTTGGCGGCAAAAAGAACAAAATGTCAACTCCGTTTTACATGGACGCTGAATTTCAGAATTCCAGAACCCTTTTCATCATGGCAAACTGATAAATCCTTGGAAAAACCTTTTCGAAGTGACTCTATGTGCGCGTTTCTTAAATAAAAAAAGCTTTTCGCGTTAATCAGTTTCTCAGGAATGTTCAACTTCACCATGCAGCGCCAGAGATGATTAAATGCATACCTGGCCTCTACAATGAACTTCGATATGTCAAGTTAGTGCTGCTGTTCTAACAGACAAGTCTGACATCAGTTTTCCAACTCCGAAAAGATGGAGACCTTGGTGATCTCGGAGCAAGGAATCGAAGCAAAGGTTACGTGCGTACTGCAGGGCACCCTTAAGACTGTGCTACACGCGCTCCTCTTTACATTCGATGAGCATTCTTTACAGAAACTTCCAATTCACATGTACAATCGGCCATTTCCACATAAACATTGGAATCCTAACACTCCTGAAGCTCTTCACTTGAAAATATAAAGAGGTGCGCTTTATATAATTACTATCGAAACATTTTAAACAATAAAGTTTCCTATAATGGCTTCATCCACTTCTTACCTGCCTGTCATATTTAGTTGCGCATTCACAATCGTAATGACTTTAAATCTCATTTAACATTATACACATTGGTCTCATGTTCTTGTCGAACTAGCACAGCTTTCTTCAACAAACGGAGAACTGAACATCATGGAAGCACACTCGTTTCCAGCGTAACGCAACTGACTGCCCATCTTGAAATCATTTTGCGAGGTTTCCCGCGGTGCTTACTATACAATTTTTGTGCGTTCACCAAGAAATTTGTGTGCGTAGGTGGAAGAGGAACCGCAAGTAGCGCCGCCATGTGAACGCTCGCACCCACGATCAGCCTCTCCTAAATGTAGCTTAGATAACTTCCAGTCTTGATGAAGTGGGAGAAAGGACATTTTATGCGCTGTGAATATTCTAATATTGCCACTGTTATCTTCCACTTCAATATTGCTATACCGTTTGGATTCTGCTATGCGCTAAACTGTCATCTCTTCGACTTCAAATTGGTGATCTCCTCAGAAAATCATCTTTTGGTTTTTACAGGTATGGATAAGATTGATTTTCGTGTGCAGTAAATCGGCCGATAAAAAAAGTTTGTGTGCTAATTATTGGGTGATTGAATAAACATCTAGGCTACAGAATGACTTGTCGTGGCCTATTGGTGCATCAAATTAGTTCTAATATCTTCCCAAATAACTCTGGTAACCATTTGCCACCGCCGGAAAGATGAACATCTTACTATGTCTGGGCGCGGGGTCGAACCAACGACCACTCGCCGCGAGATTCAAATCACATGCACAGACTCGTTTGAAATGAAGCTTTTTCCTGTAGATTAATAGGCTTAGAGAAGATCACTAGCGTACCACTTCTGATTACATTGTGACAAGCAAGGAAGCGAAGACCGAAGACGTGCAATTTAGTTGTTGGACCGAAACAGAACTTTCAAGGATTTTCTTAAACGTAGTCTTTAGAAAAAAAAATCAAGAGGGCTTTTTGTTTTCGTTATAAAGAATCGTCTAATAAAGCGTCCTGGACATTGACAAAGCTAGCACATCAGCAAAGTAAAGTTACAAAATAGGTGAAATCCTACAAGGACACCAGTGTATTTATCACCATTAGCAGTGGAAAAGGTTCAATTCTCGTACACAAATGAGGTCGAAGGTTGCGCTGGAAACGTTTTCTTACTTGAATTAAGAAAACCTTCCTCATCGGTTATTCTCATTTGGTAGTCACTGTAGCAAACCATTGCTTCTCAATCGTTTTGACATATGGTCGTAAAGAATCATCAACAGATAAACCGCTATAAAGATGCATTTGAAGAATTGATCGCTTGAGTATTGGTATTCTAGGGTAATAAAATGAAAAAATTTGTGTGACACTAGTGAAAAACGTGTAAATTTTTTTAAAAAGTCTCGACGCTGATCAATCCTTGAGGGATGCGTCATGCATTCGATTTCATTTGGCATCGTTTGGAGATGACTGAATGCATATATGACCTTTACAATGACTCGTGGTGGCCTACCGATGTATCGAGCCAGCGCTGCTATCCTCCCAGATAAGGCTGATACCAATTTGCAGACCCGGTGGGGATGGAAAGCTTGGTGGGCCATGGACGCTAGGAACGATTCCACGTATGTGTTACGGGGCGCCTCCTACCACTGCGTCACACGTGCCCTTTTTGTGTAGATTCCAGTCGTTCTTTTTCCGGCCAATAAACTTGTGTTTGCGGCCAATTTTAGCACGTCAAAGTTTTCGTTCAAACCATTCATTGTCTTTACACCTGCATGAAGATACAGATGGAACAATCGCTTGTTGAATCGTTATAGAATAGTGTCACATAAACTGTATAGAAAAGGAGCTTCGCCTTTTAAATATACTGCTACTTAGCTTGATTTCTTCCGAAATCAACAGAAACGAAACCTATGAAGAAAAAAGTAATTTTAAAAAACAGCTTGTTGCTACGCATTATTGAAATGCACTGTGTGGTACAAGGCGGAATGAATGACCATGTTATCGCCATTTCAATAAGAACGCTGGGGATGAATGTGTGGGAGGGCTATTTTTCAATGAATCGTAAAGTAATTAGACAAGACATACAGTGCACAAAAGCAAATGGGTGTGGAACAATGGTGGGCAGTATTTTTGATGTCCAGAGAACGGGATGCAACTGAAGAAGGTGCGGCGACTACTTTCGATACAGCAAGGGTTCTGTGTGCTAATCCGGAAGCAAGTCATATTTCATCAAGTGGCCAATATTCACAGAGAAACGACAGACATCGAAATGAAAGTGAGCTATTGGTAGTTCGCATATCGAATAAACGACATTCACCATCAGTTTCCCCATGCTAGACGAATTGCAAAGTTCATGAACAGGACTAACAACTGATAAGCTTGTATAGTTTCAGATTACGAACCCCAGTCTTCTCAGAGATCTTCAGAGCTGTTGCAATGTTGGTCTCAAGGGATCACCCTAAAAACTCTACACTAATCCTAGTCGCTTTCAATATATATAAAATATAACCAATAACCGAAATTTGCCTTGGAAATATGTGGACAGAATGGAGAAACGTGAAAAGGAATGCTTTTTAATACGAAGTTAAATAATCTGTTGCAGCTAGTGAATAGTCACTGTGATTTTTCCTCTATGCTATTTATTCTGTTGAAGCACCAAATCGTTCGAGTTTGAAAGTGTTACGTCCTTCTTTCACAACACTATTCTTTCAAACTAGGAGAAGCCCAGCCATTGCCTATCGTTCATTCCATCTCCTCCTCCACGCTTTTCCCGTAGACGACATTCGCTATCGGGTTCCCCATATTAGACAATTTCCATTTGTTATCAAGTTCCGTGTTCTTTATACAGTAATTTGTTTCATCGTTGGAATTCTTCTGATCTGTTTAACAGCAGAAAAAGAGAGGACAAAAAAACAATCCATGGACTACGCTAGAATTTTTCGGTGCTTTCATGTCTAACGGCAAACAGCACCATAAGTTGCTAGTTGACTCCGAATAGAGGCAATTAATAATTACAATATGCTATTATCTTTGGAGCTTTTCATCAAACGAACGTAACAGCACTGTAAGAAAGTAAAGCCAGTCAATTAGGTTATTTGCTTCCTTCACGTCATTTGTTGCAAGAAAACCCTTGATTTCGTCATCGTTCGGCTTTAAGGTGACGTAAAGTGGTTGATATCTATTGGTTCGGCAGTGTCAACACGAGTGTGTGGACTGAATTTCCAGTTCTCCACGCCGGCATGCTCGGTCGGTACGGCTGGATAGTTCTGTCGCGCGCGGCCGCCGCGTACGCTCAGTCGACGCTCCGCACGCGCGATGGGCGCGCAAACACTCGTTTCATCCACTTCTTCGCTCTATCGGAGCCTTTCCTATCTTCTCAACACGGTTTCACTTTGCTATTATAGCAGTTAAACATATTCACCACAATCGGTAATGGTTAGTAGGAAGCTTGTGCACCGAAATTTGAAGACACTTTGCTGTGTAGCGTGGTTCTATCTAATGAACGGGTTCTATGTTCTTCCTTCGATCTGTTGTCTACAAGCACCTAGACAGAACTTATATGCTCATTCCAGACACAAATCCCCGTAAAATAACTGTCATTACTTGAAGATATAGTAGTCAGAACAATTTTAATAGTGAATTCATCATTGACCAAGCGCTTGCTGAGGATCTCAGCATCACCACTACTAGTCGTGGTGAGTATTCTCAATTCAGTTGTGTTTTATATACCATATAAACATTCTTGTAAACTGATCTTTTA